TATCACTCCTTACAGGAAAGCTTAGCTCTGGAGTCTAATGGAGCTTAATATAGACTGGAGAACGTACCCGCCGTGAGTGCCTCCGCATGTGAGCGTGACCCTGGAGCCCAGTCCCCCGAACTGGACGTCTGAAACTGAAAGCAGGAGACATGAGAGCTGTGCTCCAGAAGTGACAACAGACATTTCATCAAGTGATACGTTATCAACCAGCCAATAGTGTTGAGATTTCATGTAAAAAACTAAACAAAAATAATAATAATAATGTATAATAAATATATATAGAGAGAGAGGTTCATTCATTCATTCATTCATTTTAATGCCATTAACACATTTATACAAAACACCTTTTTACATGTAAAATTAAAACCATAAAGTGTCAGGAAATGTTTGTTCATTTGATGTGTTGCTGATTTGCATGTCATTTGCATATTGGTGTGGTGAGAGAAAAAAAATCATTGTAATTATACAGTTTGGATATGCATATACCACATATAACACATATAATATATGTGTATTTATATTTTGTATACAAGTTTAAAATGATTGTCATAATTTTAGTTTTATTATGAACAACGCATAATTAACGTATATACTTCATAAGTGTTTTTTTCTCTACTTTTCCAGACATTCCAAAATACAAACTTTTTTTTTTTTTGGCTGATTCCTAGGAAGTATTTAATAACAAACTATTATATATTTGTAGGAAATAAACAAATACCATCTGACAGTAGCATTCAGCCTGTTATTATCAATAATTTCAAATAAACCCTTCCCTTTACAGAACAAAAAAGAATTCTCTAATCTCTAATCACTTAAAACATTTACCCTTCAGAGTGGGAGTTTTGAGAGGGAGAAAGATGGAGGGGACCAAAAAAAAAACTTCTGCATCATCTCATGTCAACTGTGTCATAAATTAAACCTGCGCAAAGAATTATGGGACCAAAAAGTGTGGAACAGCTGTACCCTTTAAAATCCTTTGTTCTGAAAGGGCCCCTTTGGTTTGGAACAACCCTTCAATATGGCGTCCACGATTGTTCTCACTACAAAGTGCCCTTAGGAGGCGACTTTATCCC